GAGGATATGTAATTTGTTAAAGTGTTGTTGTGGAGGATATGTAATTTGTCTAAATGTTTTTGTTGAGTTACGTTCTATGTAAACTGTGAGTTGTTAGGTTGGGCTGATGTTTATGAAGGTTGTACTTGTGGAGGTTCGGTTGGGGGTGGTATACGTATTTCATCCCCTTAGCTTGTGTTTAGAGGTTTACTTGCTGAGTACCGTGTGGTTTGGTACTCACCCCTTGCTTCTACAAATTTTTGTAGGTTACTAGCCCGGACTTTATGATATATTCTCTTCTTTTCCGAGGCTTCATGGAGATTTTGTGAGGTAGCTGTTGGTCATCTCAGCATCCCTCCTTACTCTTTCTTATGATTTTGTTCTACTCTAGAAACAATATCATATGAGGCTTATGTTTTCTTTTGATCCGATTGTAATACTTTAGAGGCTTGTACACGTGACAATCAGGTTTTGGGGTATACTGTAAGTTGATAGTAAATTTTCCGCATTTTTATTGTAATAGTTGAGTTTTAGGCTTACTTGTCTTGGTGGGATAAGACGAGTGTCATCACGTCCATTTTTGGGTCATGACACCTTTTGTAGCGAACATTTATTAGTCACAATTTTCATATTGTAATTAAGTTACATTAGGTTAGTTATAGAGCTAGTCTATGGCCATAAATTTTCAAATATTTTTAAGAAAAACATGTTTTTGAATTAAAGGGTTTGACATATATTATTTAATCATGAACATATTTCACCTTTTTATAAAAATAAGGACAAAGATATTAAATATAATTTATACCCATAATTAAGTTTAATATTTTATCTTTTTTATAATGAATTATAGCTAGCTAATACATTATTCAAAAAATTTATGGCCAATCAATTTTGCCAAAATTTTTAAAAGGTGGATAAGTTCTCTTAGTATATGTGGCCAAAAGGTACTTTGTTTAATGGTGAAAGCAACTTGTCTATATATAACTTGTTAAAAATATATATATTATAGTACACAATATGCATGCAGAACCAAAATAAAAAATTAGTGTACGTTAATTTTTTGCACAACATTTTTGTGAATATTAGGATATAACCATATCAAGACTAAATTTATATTTCATGATAAGTCACATCAAGCAATATCTTGGGCTATTCACAAATAATATAGGGAAAATTATTGGATTGGTATGTATCTGATAAATAATTATTGATTGTAGCGATATTTTATTTATTTATTTATTTATAATTCATAGCAATTTATAGCAATACTATGTTAAATCTATAATATGTATTAAAAGTGAATTATGTATACAATGTATATATATTATAACTTTTTAAAATATATTATGTCTGTTTGACAAGAAATTGACATATTGTATTGTAGTGTATAAAATGTATGCTAAATATATTATCTATCAATAAAGCTTGTATTATATGTAAATGATAAATTGTTTTTTATATATACATTAAAATTGTATTATATACATATTAAAACTGATCAAGTGAAAATACTTATTATAGCTATAAATAATAAATAATTTTTTAATATATAAGTTTTCCAATAATAATTATGGGAAAACGGATGAGGTGATTTGCACAAATAATAATTACAATAATATAAATAATAGCATGTGACCATGAAACTTCCAAATATATCTTATATAAAATTTTTATAAAAATGATTTTCCATTTAAATTACATTTCATGTTTTTAGAAATTGGAGGGTATTAAATCATATTTAGTAAAAGTATATTTAAACTCTAAGTGATATATAAATAAAAAATATTACCTCTAAAATATTTATATATAATCTAAACAAATATTATAGAAATTGACACAGACATGAGAGTGCAATAAAAATAGCATCAATGTAGGTTTCATATAATTTTATACGTTGGTCTTATTTTTTGATTAATTAACATACGAGGGAAGAATTATGCTTAAATACAATATATATAATTTTATTAAATACATTTATTTTTCTAGTGACTCATGATTTTCAATCACTTTTTAATTGCATTAAAATAATTAATTCCTTCATGAAAAAAAAAATTCTGTTTTCTTTTTTTCTTTTTCGAATTAAATAATATTTGTTCCATTATTATTTATCTCGTACAACTTTAATTAGGTTACATACATGGCCCATGTCACGTGGGAATATTAATTAAATAGGACAAATAATACATAGATATGCAAACATAGCCCAACAAATTGCGAAGAAAAAATTATTTTTTTAATTATATCACTCAAATATACGCTATTATTATTAAAGTTCGATAAATCTAAATGCGAACATTACAAGGTCCATTTTCGAACATAGCTTTCATTGAAATTTTTTTGTTTCTCTAAATCTGAATCTGAAATATAATATATGATTAAAAATTGAAGAATTAAAAAAATCTCTACACATACAAGATTATTATTATCATTTTTACTAAATTATCATACAAATTTTAAATCCCTTATTGAAAATTTTAGATTAATCACTACTTCCTAAAAGTAACACTGAATTAAATTTTAATATATATAATTTAATTTGACTTAAAAATCGACGTAGATACAATACTCCACCATACATTCTATAAATAACATGTCATTCTTGTCTATTCCAAATTTAGACTCTTTATCCCATTTTACTTTGTTGGGCTAGACCAGAAAAAACTCTTTGTGGTAAGAATATATGATATTATCTTCTTTGTTATCAAATAGTATATACCTATGGTTTTTCAAAAAGATTTATGTATATTTTCCCAATCTCTTATATTATATGAGTAAGCCTTTATAATCTCTCTTCAAAATTTAGTTTTATGTGATTCATAGATCAAGTTTTAAGATTTATTATCGTTATTCACATGATTGAGGATTTATTTATTGGGCTTACATTCTTGTGTCAATGCATCTTCAAGCTATTTTTAGTTATTGTAGCAAATTGAGCATTGTATTAATTTTGATATTGATTGTTGGGGTGAACTAGTGTAGTGATGTTTTTAATACAGTCTGATATTATTCACTTTGGTCCAAAGGTTAGGTTTAATCTTTTGGGGTTTTTTTTGTCTATTGAAGGTCATCATCGTGTTAGCTAATCCTCTCCTATTAAATTTGTCAATCCTTTTATTTTTTTTCCTTCTCTCTTTCAGTTCTCCACCTCTACTTTATTTGATAAAGACAGAGAATACCACTTTATCAATAACAAAAAAAAATATCAATTTTATTTTAAATGGTTTGTGAACTTGAAAATAAAGTGACTTATTATCTATCAATAGATGAAAACAAATTGCTATTAACCAAATTCATATCAATTTTTTGAATACGTGGCATCACATCATTAAGAGTAGTCCTACACCTTATATGTATAGCTTCCTAATCTTCTCATCGTACTATCAATGTGAGTTTTGTAAATACACACAACTTTTTATATATATATTTGACATATTTTCTTTGAGTTTATCTTTAAAAGAATGATACGTTTTTCTTTTTAAAACCTATTTTATCTTAATAACATTTTTGTTTTATTATTAATGACATGAATCGGTTGAAATTTATATTTTTAAAAAAAATTAAGATTTTTTTTAAGAGTGAGAAAATGAAAACTCAATTGAATCTCTCACAACCACTTATTTCAAAAGGATAGTTTCAGACTCTTTACCTATATCTCACGTATATTATAACACGTTTTAAAATATTTTAAATTTCATATAAAATAATCAAACACCTCATATAAAATGAGACACAGGGAAATTATTTCTTTAAAGTATCTACAAGAAAAATAGACATCAAAAGAAAAAATGAGCAAGTCTTTCTATTATCCTAACAAGGATAAAATACAAGAAGCTTGGTCTAAAGATGATAGTAAGTACATTTATATTTTGTTTTGTAATTTATAGCACCTATCATGTTGATATATCTGAGATTTTTCTTAATTAACTAATCATATTTTTTTCTTATTTTAATATTTATCATGCAAAAGATGAGATTATAAATCCATCATATAGTTATAATTAAAATATTATAATTTTATTTTGAACTAAATAATCGCGCAATTTAATTAATTTGTTTGTGTTTATAGGTATGGCTAATTGTTGTTCTAAAAGGACAAATTTTTCTAAGGAAGAAGATGATCTTATCATTAGGTTTCATGCTCTCCTGGGTGACAGGTTTAGATAGCTAACTCGAAGATTCATAAATTTAATTATTTTTTCATGTATTATAGTGATTTATTATAGATCGATCACGTTTAAGTTAATAAGTTATGAATTTAATATAAATTCATATTTTTTTTGAAAATTAGTTAGAGTCTATTTCTATCGCGTAAAATAATTGAGTAATGACGATTTCTTAATTATTATTTTTTCACATTTCAGATGGTCGCTTATAGCAGAAAGATTACCCGAACACAGTGGTATTGAAGTGAAGAATTATTGGGACTCTCATTTAAAACTAAAACTTACGAAAATGGGAATTGATCCAATGAATTATCGTATACATGAATATGTTCATAAGAAAAATCTCGATTTTATCGCATCGAGAAATAAAAAATTATTCAATGGAGAAATTTCTGATGCTGAAAGTTCTGCATAATAATATGTTTTGTTTTTTAAAAAAAATAATTATTTTTTAGTTTGTGTGATATGTTGATAGTTCTTTTACACAATAATATGCACCATCAAATTTATTATTTTTCTTTTTATTTTGAGATTCAAATCATCTTTTAACGATCTTATTAATTAAGATCACGATAAAACAAATTAACTTACTCAATTATTGAGCGTGAAATAAAATAAAAAATATCGCATAATAAGTAGTGTAATAATCAAATAGGAGAAAGGACTTCTCATCAATTTATTTAACAACTCAATACATTGACATATTCATTTTATATGAAAATTGTATATCTTACGTGGCGTTCTGAGTGTATCATGCAATATAGGATACGTGTATCTATTTTTTTAATTTTATATTGCGTACATCCAAAATTAAGGACCATCATTGCCGATTGACCTCAAGTTAAGGGTCTTAATGATATATTATACATTGAAATTTCTTAACATTAACTAAATATCTTATTTCAAATCATCCTTAAAAAATTAGAAATTTTCTTGTTTAGGACCAAGGATTTGTTTCCTCCCATTGTGAATTTACTCGATATCAATTTGAATTAATAATTCAGTGAACTACGAATATCAAGTGATTAAATTGAATAAATAAAACTTTATATATAAAAAGAGCATTTGGTGAACGATAAATCATAAATTAAGTAACACAAGAAGATTTGGATTATCATATTCAAATTATTATATATTTTACATAATTTTTTATATCTGAATGTTAATTTTAAAATATTAAATTCATCTAAATAAATTTAACTCGAAAAATCACTCCAATTTGATTATAATAAAGTTAAAAATACTTCATAATTAGGACGTAACAAAATAATAATCAATCACAAGTATCAAATCACACGCCTAATTAAAATCTTTTTTTTTATTAAGAGACAAAATTAGTATAAATTGACAGCTGATAGATGCTGATTTTTTCTACGGTAATATTCTTAAATATTTATATAAAAATTAATTTATTTGACAAAATCAATGTTCATATAGCAATTTTCTCAAATAAATAGTATTACCTCTTCCAATTTTTATTTTTATTTTTAAAAAATATATTTTTCCTTTTTTCTTAACATAAAGTATAACAAATATTTTAATATATTTTATATATCTGTCAATGTTGATATAGCAATTTTCTCAAATATATAGTATTACCTCTTCCAATTTTCAGTTTTTTTTACATAAAGTATAATAAATATTTTAATATATTTTATATATCTTTAATTTAAAATAAAAATAAAAAATTTGTATGGAGTTAAAATTAAATAAAAAAAAATTGCAACAACAACAATTTAACTCGAGCTTCATTAATACCCATTAGTGTTTGTACTGACACTTATCCACCAAAAAAAACACAACCACCATGGCCGGCGGAGAAGCCACCGCCGTTGCCGGAGACCACCCTATTGCCACCCTACTACGGCTACTCCATGAGGTGTCACAGATCTCAATTGCTGGATTTTATGGTAAATTCAAGAAAGATTGTACAGATTTAGCAAGAAGAGTTACACTTTTGGCTCATTTGTTTGATGAGTTAAAAGACACAAATACCCTTTTGGGTTCTTCATCTTCTTCATTCAATTCTTGTTTTTCTGATCTCTCTGTTGCTCTTCAAGCTGCAAAACAACTACTTTTAGCAGCTAATGAACTTGATCCCAAGATCCACTCTGTAAGTGTCCTGTTTAGTAAAGTACCAATCTTTTTATCTATGTGTTGATTCCCATTTTGTCAAATTTTTGCATTTGGTGTAGTAAAGTTTCAATCTTTTTATCTATTTGATAAATCCCATCTTGTCATATTTTGCATTTGGTGTTGTAAAGTTTCAATCTTTTTGTCTATTTGTTGATTCCCATGTTGTC